CGTCGCTTTCGCTGCAGACAAAAAGGCTGAAACCGGAGCCGCCCTCGCACCCTCCCCGCCACGCCTCGATGCCGCGGGGCGCCCGCTCCCCGGCCCCACCCCTCAGGCAGGCCCCGGCCAAGGAGCTCGGCCGCCCTTTCTTCGCTGAACTCCCACCCGACTTTCGTCCCAAGGCTGGCGAAGGCAGGCTTCTCCGCTCGGTTTGGGCCTCGCGCAGCCCGAGGCGACCCCCCCTCCTCCCCGTCCGAGTCCCGTTCCAGATGACTGCAGGGAAGCAAGGGGGGGGGTCTGCGGTCTCCAAAGCCTCCCCTCCCCATTTCCTGCAAGCAGCTCCCGCTTGTCGGGATCTGCCTGCCCGCCCGTCTGCCCGCATCTTTGCGCACCCCCTTCCCCCCTTCCCCAAAGTGGGGTGGGGAAAAGCCGCCGCCCCCCCCCTCGGCGCCCGAGACTCACCAATGGAGACCAGCTTGATGTTCTCCCGCTCCAGGAACTCCAGCGCCACCGAGACGTTCTCCAGCTGCATCTGGCGGAAGGTGGGGCGCGTGTTGTACTTGCGCCCCATCTTCTTCTGGCTCAGCACCTCGAGCAGCGCGATGAGGCGCAGCCCGTCGCCCAAGTCCGTCTGCAAGTTGGCGATGCGCTTGTTGACGCACTTCAGGTGCTCGTTGCACCAGCGGGTGAAGGTGTTCTGCTGGATCTTCTTCCAGGGCGCGTCCTCCGCCAGGTCCTTCTCGGTGGCCGGCATCTCCGCGGCGACCTCCCCCGGGTTGTTGCTGCTGCTGCTGCCGATGCTGCTCCCCCCGATGCCTCCTGCTCCCGCGGCCTGATGGAGTCGCGCTTGCGAGCCGCTCATTATAACGGCCGGGCTTGCGGTGGGTGGGACCCCGGCGCTAGGTGGGCTGGGCTCGGGATTAAAGGCACAGGATCCTGCGGGAAGGAAGGGAGGGGAGGGCGCAGGAAAGAAAGAAAGAAAGAAAAGTTGAGCGAGGCGCGGCGGGGAGCGCAAGGCCAATCCTCAGGACGGGGCCAAAGTTTAGAGACGGGGGCAGCGGAGAACTAGCCCCCCTCCCCAAATGCAACATAGGGATGAATAGGAAGATAGGTCAAGTTGGGCTATCTTCCCGGAAAGGAATCCACGCCCCCCCCCAATTATCGTGGCTACAGCTGGGCGCCCCTCCAGGCTGCGCCCCTCTTGCGCAGCTCAGCGGGATGGCCGGGGAAATTTATTTATTTAACTTATACGCCGCCCACACTACCCAAAGGTCTCTGGGCAGCTTACATCAATTTGGAAGTGAATCCCATTGGAATCAAAGAGAATGTGCTTCTAAATGAAAACCTTTGCGGCTGGGCCGCTAAAATGCTGATGGCGCCTCCAGCCCCCCCCCCACACCCCCACCCCCACGGGACAGTAGGTAGGATAACCTCGAGGGATGCCAAAGGATGTGGTGGAGCACGGCTGGTTTGAAAGAAAAAATTCTGGAAAGCGATTTCTGATTCCTAACAGCCAGACCAAACTTCCATATTCAGTGGCAGTATACCGCTGAAGTTGCTTTGGACGGTCTCCGCTCCGTTCTGCATGGAGGATTTAAGCGACCGTGATCCTGAAAAGTAACTTTCTCCTGTTTTGAATCGAACAGACTCAGGGGAGCAAACGGCGTAAGGCTTATTCTAGGCGCTTTAAAGGCTGGCTCAGTTGGAAGCATCAAACGGTGATCTAAAAACGAGGCCCTAAAGTACGGGAGGGGTGTGTGTGTATGTCTTCCAGGAGCTGGACTACCGCTCCCATCAGCCCTAGCATAGCCACTGGTAAGGCGTAATGGGAGAGGCAGTCCAGTAAGGACTCAAAGGTGGCATGTTTCCCTCCTCGATCGCAAACCCAAGGGAGAGTTTGGGAATTACTGTCCGGTCGACACCTGGCTAGGCCCGCTGAGGGAACATGGGAGTGTATTATGGGCCCTCAAGTCGGTTCTCCTTTCTGACGATCGCTCGGACAGAGTTTCCACGGTCTGTGAAATATCTGAGGAGTGGTTTTACCACTGCCACACCCCCCACTCCGGGAATTGCCTTGCCCCAGAGGAGATTTCAGCTCTGATCTCCCAAATCCTATATTCATTATATTTTACTGGCTCTTATTTACATTTTTAAGAAGTGTAGCTTTTTTTTTTAAAGTAACGATTCCCAACTACGTGCGTGAGAACTTGGTAGGATTCTAACTCTTTTCCTTTTCATGGGAGCTGAAGAGACGGACGGGCTGGCGAAGGGGGAGGGATCTGAGCACGTAGAGCAAAGAAAGATTGGGGAGGGGAGGGGAGGGGGTGAGTTTGGGAATTCCAGGCCGAACCCAGACACGCTGACTCACAGCCAGACGCTGATCCCGCCGCCGCTACCTCGCTTCTCCCCCAGCGACGGAGAAAGAAGGCTCGAGGAGGGAGACGCCTCGGGGACAGGACGGAGGAAGCCAAGGGCCCTCGCTCCTTTTTCAGCTCCACGCCTTGGAGGGTGACCCGGGGGGTGGCGAGGGCGGAGGCTGTTCTCTGTTGGACCAGACGTTGGGAATGTGTAGCCCTCCAGATGTGGTCCGACTGCAGCTCCCATCAGCCTTAGCCAAGCCAAGCCACGGCTGGGAGATGATGGACAGATGTGCACCCGGAGGGCTTGCCCACCGCCCCTCCGAGGACGAGCTTTATCCGCTGCTGGCATTTGGCCTCGGAATTGCCGCCAAGCGGCCGGGCGTGCGCGCACACGATCCGCCACCGGCAGAGGGAAATAAAAGGGCCCTGGCCCAGCTGGGGAGACGGATCCCAAGCGTATCAGCCTTAGCCAAGCCAAGCCGGGAGATGATGGACAGATCTGCACCCGGAGGGCTTGCCCACCGCCCCTCCGAGGACGAGCTTTATCCGCTGCTGGCATTTGGCCTCGGAATTGCCGCCAAGCGGCCGGGCGTGCGCGCACACGATCCGCCACCGGCAGAGGGAAATAAAAGGGCCCTGGCCCAGCTGGGGAGACGGATCCCAAGCGGAGGGGGGGATTAAGCGGCTGGGCGAGGGCGGATCGGCGACCCCTACCACTGTCACGCTGCCTGCCTGCCGGGAGGGCGCCCGAGGAACACCGCCGGGCCAGTGAGCGCACGTCTCCCAAATTCCTGCGCAATGAGGCCCCGCAGCCGGGGAGCTGCCTGCCCCCCCCCTCCGCACCCAACCCAACCCTTTAAAAATACTAGATTAAAAAAAAAATCCCCCAGGCGATGGAAACTCCGTTGCGCGCCTGGGGTTCTCCTTGGCTCAGCCTGACTGCGCGCATCTCTTCTTCCTGGGCCGAGTTACAGCTCATCTCCCCGAGATCGAGTGACTGTCTCTCTCTTGTTCCCCCTTGCCCCCCCCCGCAAGACTGGAATAGGGGCCAGTCCCGTCTTGTCATCACCACCCTTCCCGTTTCGTTTTTTTTTCTCCCGTCACACTTAGCCTTTGGCTTTTGTACCAGGCATTCCCAAGGCAAAGGACGCACACCTCCTTTTCAGGCCATTAAATAAATAATCTTTAAAGGGCAGAGCTGGAAGGGATCCCCTGGATCATCGAGTCCCCTTTAAAGGGCAGAGCTGGAAGGGACCCTCTGGATCATCGAGTCCAGCCCCTCTCAAGGAAGGGACCCTCGGGAATTGAACTCCCAACCTCTGGCTCCACAGCCAGAGACCTAAGCCGTTGTTTATTCGTAGCCCTGACTTTGCCTTAGAGACAAGCACACTTCTGGGCATGTGCAGAGTTTGTTCCTTACCAGCAAGTCCTTGGTGGCCTTCCTTTAAGCTAGACCTCATACAAGCTTTGGTATTGAGCAGGAGCATTGGAGTGTTTAGCCCAGGATTGTCTACTCCCTCTTCCCCCCACTTCTCTCTCTTTCTTTCTCTCTTCCACCCCCCCTTCTTTCTTTCTCTTTCTGGCAGAGCTTTTTGCCAGCTAGCCCTGCTATGAAGGATACCTTAGGCCAGAGATCTGGGCAACTGCACCTGGGCCAAGAACGATCTTGTGCTGATTTTCTGCAGTGAATATCCTCCTCCTGTTGCTTCACACACTTCACTGCTCCTAGTTCTGTTTATGTATCTATTAGTTGCACTCTTAGCCACATTTGTCCTTACAAACCTAAGGCAACCTACTCAGCAGCGTTGGTTCTCTCTGCCTTTCCTCACAACAACCCGATGAGGTAGGTCAAGGTGACAGAAAAATGTCAAGCCCAAGATCAAAGAAGCAGTTTCATGGCTAAGTGGGGAATGGAACTCAGATCTCCCGAGCTCCGCTGTAGCACATTCCAGCTGTTGGAATCACAATAGTACTCCTGACCACTAAGGGCCTTCCCATCCCATCTCTGCCATCCTAGTAGCTGAGCTGATGGGTCACGCTGTTTGCTGTGGCCCTACCAGGTCCTCCCGTTCCCATATGCTGGTGTGTTGGGTCATCTCATGTAAGATGTCTCAAACATCAGCTAAGGGTAATGAGAGATACAGGGTCCAGCCCTATCCTTGGGCAGGGTGGGGGTGCAATCAGAGGAGCAGTTGCCTTGCACTGTGGCCCAGATGGAGGACGGGCTGGTTTGCTCCTTTTTCTGGCAATCACATGACATACATTCCAGGAAAAAGGATCCATGTCTAGTACAGTCATTGATCCTGATCCATGCCTAGTTAGTTATGTGCAACCAAGTCAGAACCAACTTATGGTGACCTAACAGGGCTTTCAAAGTAAGTGAGATGTTTAAGAAGTGGTTTTACCAGTTCCACTCCTCCAGTGAGTTTCCATGGTCAAGTGTAGATTTGAACCCTGGTCTCCAGAATCCTAGTCCTACACTACACTGGGTATCTAATGATCCATGCCTACCTGCACCTTTTGGAGTCCCTATTCTGGGCCTAGGATCGCTCCTTTTTGGTTCAGTTCCAGCATGTGTGATTGTTAGGATTGAACCAAAGCAGCTGCCTGGCTGTCCCTTTGCTGAAGCTGCTTAAAGGTCTTGAGAAATGGGAAGCTTCTTGGCTGTTCACCTAGAGGGGTGAAGAGAGGACATTTCCCATTTTTAATGGTTGTTAATGCATCACCAGTGCTTTGAAACAGCCTTTAAAAGAAAAAAAGCAAAAAAGAGGAAGGGGGGGAAGGAAGCTTTCCATTTCTCAAGATCATTAAGTGGCTTAGGCAAATCATGGAAGAAGAGACAGGAAGTGGGGGTTGGTCCTGTCCCTTTAGAGGAAAAGAAGATCAGTCTAGATCTGAATTGCTTGATGTGCAATGCAGTTGATCCCCCACATGGATGCAAGGATCACTCCAAATGACATGCTACTCCTCAAAGCGACCCTGTTCAGCACAATCTAGATCAATTTATGCTGGGATAACTGGGCTGTCTAGTCACACCTGGTATAATTGCTTCATCTGGCATATGCTGAAGGGCGGGGGGTGGTGGAAAACTATTAGGAGATGTGTCTGCCTCTATATCAGATGGCTTTCCTTGAACCCCCTAAGCTATCTTCACATGCAGTGGTGTAGTGGAATTAGCGCTCACTGCGGGACTTTCTAAGTAGTAGGGACTATGACATTATTTGCCACACTCTTAGCTGCAATCCTCACAGCTAAACTGGGACAGAAAAGGTTTTCCCCAGAAGCAATGCAGGTTGCATCTTTTTCTTTTTGCTTCTCCTCGTATGGGGTGGTGGCAGCCATCGGGACAGTCATGAGGAACATCTGCAAATTTACTCTTACACGGTTGCTCCCGTGTTGAGGAGGATACATGCTGAAGAAAGATTCAGCTAGCACTCTAGGTTGCTTTTTTTACACTGAGCAGGAGAGGCAGTATCTGGTGCTTCCCCTCAGCACCAAAATGTCATCCTGGGCCAGCCCTGGTATGCACAGTCTGTGTGGAGTCTGTTTGGGCACTGTTAAGCAGGAGAACGGCCT